TTTTGGGTAGACACTGTGCAGTAGTGCATATCTAAACATAATAATGGTCTTTCAGTTTGAAAATCGTGTCCTTTCATCATAAAAACTTGCTAAATTTTAAATTATAATTACATGTATTCCCTCTTATTTGTTGAAAATAATGTTAGTTTGTTGTGTAGGTATAATTCGTGTTTGTAATAAATGTTATCTTTTGATTTGTTCGCAGAGGCCTAATGGGAAATGCTGTAGCTTTTGCTGCTATAGTTTGGTGCAGTATATCTTCTTCAAAGTTATTTGTCACTGCCTTGGCGATGGATTCTCAGCAGTTGTTAGTTGCATACCCATGTGCCTTGCTGTATGGAGTCTTTGCTCTCTTGACTGTGTTTTAAAGTTCACTATTGGTGAATCTGAAAGGATTACAAAGACATTTTCTAAAGTGAAGATGCTTCGAAGACTTACATGCATATCTTTACCAACTTGCCACTTTATAGTGAGATCAGAACCAGAACTTTTCTAATCGGTTGTTTTATATAAAAACAAATTACAAGTATGATTAATTCTTTTATATTCCTTTTGTTGTCAAGACTGTCAAGATTAGGGATATATTACACCTATCAAATATGTGATTTTAATGGGTAAATTGTCAAAATTTCTGGCACCTTTGTATAATTTTACTGTATATCTCTTTACGTGCATATTGGTACATGTAATTACCATAATATTAGTTAAATGTTGTCCTAGTCCTAGACTGTCCACAGTCGGTCATACCTAATATTAATCTATTATTAATAAATATTGTGTATAAACATAATAGGTGTGAATAAATTGCGAACACCGACCGGGACTGAAGTCCCTGGTGTGAAATGCTTATCATTTTCCATCAGATTGTCTAGGATACACAATTACATTAGACCTGAGGACTATCGACAGTCTATCCTAGTCCTAGTCTTGGCGCTATTTCTCACATACCAAATAGGAGTGTAGGATTTGAGTTCAAAATGCATATATTTGGGTCCCGGGACAGGGACACTGATTTGTTGCTGGGTATCTGATTAGTCTGTCTGTACTGGAGACACCATATGTGATGTTAGGGGATTAGTATATGATGCGAGATAAATGCAAATACTATGGAGCGAGAACAAACAAGTAGAATCGATACTTCAATGCTCTCTGTAAGATTTATTCTCAGTTATTGGCAATCTGTTGAAGTGCAGGAATATTCTGAAATCTGCAATGTATTGTGGGATAATGCATCTGAATTCAAGATGAACATGAACCACTTCAGTTGTCTTGAAACGCATCAAGAAACTGAAGAAAACTAATTTTATGTTATATATGTCTTACTTTGATCGCAACTGTAAAAGCTGAATTGAACTACAAATAATTTTGTATCAAGTTTAGTTTTCTATTTATTCTGCAGCAGTGTCTGTAGTGCCTAATGTCATCAGTCATACATTGTGCTATGTTAAAATATGTATTTTGCTAATAAACTTTGTGCTGGGAATACTATACAGTAAAATGTTTGTTGCGTTTTTTGGGGAAGGAAGTTCAGGCAAGATCTAGCTTAATTTTTTTTTCTTTTTTTTTTCAAATTATTTTTTATCATACACTTTTTATTTATTTTATTTTATTTGAATTTATTATTTATTTGCTGGTAGTTTTGGTAATACAAAATAATAAAAATTAACATGCTAGCTAAAAAGACATGTTTTACAGTATATAAAATTAAATTCACACCATACAGTGTGAGTGACCTTGTATATTGACGATTTGTTTTACAAAAACCTGAAGACTGTTCATTTTAAACTTTTAAAAAAGTACATGGATATGACGAAAGAATATTTTTGCAATGTATTACCCAGAAATTAACTTCTGACTTTTGGTCCATGCTTTGTGTGGGGAAAATGCTTGTTTACCACGATACCAATGCCATGTTCCTGACTTAAAGGAAAGGTCAATCCATGCTGGCAATATTGTTGGCCACACAGCAGCAGTTATGCACAGTTTTTCAAATAATAAAAAAAAATTACATAAATAACAATGAGTTATGATCCAATATACCGTAGTATTCAAAATAGTCGCCGCCATTTTGTCAGTTTTTAAGCGCCAATTATTTTCAGTTTTATTTATTTGTATGTGCATGTCGGGCTGATAACGGGCCTACTGGTTTATTTGTACCCAACTGCCCACCTTCTATACATCCGCCGCACTACTGGATTTCAAAATTATAGTCGTTACCCCCCGTGCCGCCC